AATGGCTGTCTGGGTCAGACCAAAGGTCCATATAGCCCAGTTGCCTGTCTGCCGACAGTGGCCAACAGTGACCGAAGACAGTGACCAAGCCATTTGTCTCGTGCCATCCCTCTCCAGCCTTCCACAAACTTTGGGCAGGGACACCACTCCTACCCCCTGGCTAAGACTACTCCATGGACCCAACCTCCATGACTTGATCTCACTTCCCTTTAAACTCTGTTCTAGTTGTAGCCTTCACAGCCTCCTGCAGCAAGGAGTTCCACAGGTTAACTATTTGCTTTGTGAAGAAGAACAACTTTCTCTTACTAGTTTCAAGCCTGCTACCCATTCCTTTCCTTTGGTGTCCTCTAGTCCTTCTTTATGGGAACTCAGGAAGAACTTTTCTGAATGCACCCTCTCCACCCAACCCCTGCTTTTAGAGACCTCTATCCTGTCCCCCCTCCGTCTCCTCTTTTCTAAGCTGAACAGTCCCAGTCTCTGTAGCCTCTCTTCATCTGGGACCTGTTCCCAACCCCTGATCATGTTAGTTGCCCTCCCCTCTCCCAGCCTTTCTCTTCCCCTCTCCCACCTCCTTTTCCCAGTCTCCCCCAGTTTTGTTCAATAAAGACAGAGTCAATGTTGGAAGAAACGTTATCTTTATTTTGTACATCAATAAGAAGGGGGGCTAGGGAAGGGTAAGTGGAAGGAGGTGAGGGAGGAATGGGGTACGAGCCCCCGATGGGGAGGACTGGGCTGGCTCTGCGGGCTTCTGGGGGTGGAAGCTCTCCTGCAGCCCCCCAATTACTCCCTCTCCCCAGATGGCAGCCTGCGGCAAGTGCAGCCGGGCTGATGGCCGAGTGGTGTGATGTGCCCAGTGTGGGCACTCCGGGCACTCCAAGCCAGGACTAGTTTTCAAGCGGGGCACCCCTTAGAACTGTGTGTCCGGGGTGGGGGTCGGGACCCTTTAAGCGCAGCCCTCGGCTAGCCCGAGAGAGCATCTCCACGCTCTAAGTCCTCCTCTGATGCCCTGCCGGCACTGCTTCCGGCCCTCCTTAAGCCCTGTTCAGAGTCCACTCAATGTGGACTTGCTAGTTCGAATTAGCAAAACGCTAATTCGAACTAGTTTTTAGTTCTAGACGCGTTAGTTCGAATTAGCTTAGTTCGAATTAACTAATTCGAACTAAGTTAGTTCGAACTAGCGCTGTAGTGTAGACATACCCAGAGAAATTTCCTCAGCAAACACTTGCTCTCTTTTTCTACTCACTTTAACTTGAGATCTATTATTAATTTTTTTGGGTGTCCCCACAAATGGATTTTTTCAGGCCGGCACTGACTTTTCATTTGACATAAAGGGGCCGTGGTGAGAAGGGTCTTTAATTCATTGAACCAGTGGTTCTAAGCCAGGGGTTTGGAGTCCCCTGGGGGGGCCATGAGCAGGTTTCAGGAGGTACTCTAAACAGGGTCAGTATTAGACTTGCTGGGGCCCAGGGCAGAAAGCCAAAATCCCACCTCCTGGGCTGAGGCTCTGAACTCTGCCACCTGGACCTGAAGCCAGAGCCTGGCCAATTTAGCTTTGTGGGGGGCCCCTCTGGCATGGTGCCCCAGGCAGTTGACCTGTTTGCTTGGTGTTAGAGAAGAATCAGGTGACCCAGGAGTGGATGGGGTAAACAGTTGCTTTATTGCCCACGCACATTAACCTCGGACCCCTGACACATCATTCCGAGTGGCCTGTTTCATCAGGATTGGTCTGCTGTCCAGGGGTGGGAGGAGGCCTCCCTGGTGTCCAGGGGCTCCCCAGGTTATGCTGGTGCAGGCTCTGTGTGAGTGTCTGTTACGTTTGTGGGAGGAACTTGCTAATCTTAGAAGTAAAGTAGAAACTTTGCAGCAGATTGCTGAGAAGCAGTGTGCTATTAAATATTAGTGTGTGTTGGCAGCCGGGATGGCTGAAACCTGCATGGATGATTTTTAATTGCCTTAAGTCAGAGAACCTGGCCCTGAAGGGTCAAGCAGGTGCCTTATAGCAGTTCTGTTTACCCCATCCGCTCCTGTGTCACCTGTTTCTTCTCTAACACTAGGGATGTTAGTTATCAGGTAATTGAATAGTCGTGTAACCACATGAATTCTTAGCAGTTTCATCACTATTCGATAGTTCCTGGGGGTGGGGGCAGCAGCCAGCGTGCTCCAGCC